GAGTATTTTGTGTTAATTATTTGATGTTAGTAACATCTATTAACAATAAAATTTGAAATTTCTAGGTTGTCTAGATTGAATTTAATCTAAAGTGACAAATTTTAACCGACTCAAACAAAATTTAAAATAATGTTGTTCAAAACTTAAAATTTTACAAATTCAATTTTGGTTGGGATTTAGGGAAGGTGCTGTGATAGCATGCATACGATAAGATTTTTACTGAAAGAATTAATAATCTTAATGGTAAGAAATGTTCAAAAATAAATAAACAAAAATTTATAACATGAGTGTTGTCACAACACCCTTCCTCTTGAATTCCTTGGGTTGTAACTGCATGAAACGCACCCCTACTTGCATACCAATATTGAAGAACTTTAATAATCAAATTGATGTTATTTGGTTAATAATAGAGGCCAACGCCTCTATAAAATTATTTTAAAAAAAAAATCGAATATGGTTGAATTAGTAGTGCACCACTCAACTTAACTTGAGTTGCGTCAATCATATTTATCACGACTCTAACGAGCAATGAGAAATTATTTTTTCCCTAGCCATTGATGGCCATGGACCCCTACATTTTACAACACTTACACATATTTATATATATTGTGTGTGTTAATTTTCGATCACACAATTAAAGGGAAATTTAGTTGGAGAGCATCGGCAGAATAGATTAAATCCGAACAACTTGTCACAGAAAGATAAGAATCCGGCGGTGGTTCATCCACCCAGGGGCACTCCGACGCTCAAGTCAGTAACTAGACAGAACATAAAAAACATACCTTAGACCTATGAGGGCTTAGACCTATGAGGGTGCTTCATTTTTATAGTGATCAGTGTCCAACTTCCCTAGAAATCTTGCTTCAAGAGACTCTATCCTTTACAATGATAGCATCTATCACAATTCAGACTATTCAGATTAAGATGAACTTTCTCAAGAGTCTCATCTCTATCCAAATAGGTAGTTTGATGTTATCTAAGACTCTAGTTCTCTATCAAAATATCTCAGATTCTGGTATTATTGCACCATATGTAGGCATCATGATCCGCCCACGTGGTACCTTAGCTAACAATCTCCGCCATGTGGACTACCTAAAAATATGTCCGTACATATATTATATAAGAAAAATAAAAATTTTAGAGAGAAATGTTCTAGGAATTTCAAACCATCATTCAAAAATTATAAAATTTTCTTAATTTTAAACAATTACCAAAATTCTCATTGACTAACTTCTATTTACCTTCTATTTTACAATCTCATATCAGGAAAAGAAATAAAAAGTGAATTATTTCACTTACATAAAATGAATCTTATACTCTCATTTATATAAGCAAAATGAGATTTTTAATGAGAAGTCTTATGATCAATATCTCATACTAATTATTTTTTAATTTTCTTAATTTTAAACAGTTAAGAAAATCTCTATTGGCTAGCTTCCATTTAACTTTTATTTTACAATCCCATATACAAGTTTTAATTTTAAAAATAATTTGTTATGAGGTTTTGAAACTCTCATAATACCTCTCCCTAAAGTTATTCTTTTGTAAAATATATAGATATATTGATAATTTCAACATCACTCTTACTGCTCTTTAATACAAAAATTATGAGATAATTATGATAATTTTAAATTTGTATTTAAAACTTATAAAATATGGGATAGATTATTATAATTTTAAATTTATATTGTGTCAATTTTAAATTTAAATTAATAGATTGCTTTTCATATTTAGTGACAGTTTAAATTTTAATAAAAGAAAATTTAAAAGTTTTAATTAATTAATTTTTGTGTAAGCTGATTGGTCTTTTGACCTAACTGAGCCTCTGTTTGGCAAGTTGGTTCTTGGGCTTTTTTGGCTATTTTAGCCACAAAAGACAAAATAGGCTATTTTAGCCATAACAAACAAAACATCACATCCAACCCATAATCATTACATTCTTCTCTCACAAAAAAACTCAAAAAAGTCAAAAAGCCAAAAAGCCCTTTCCAAACCAAGCTTTTAAGCCCAGGCTAAAATAGCCAAAAAAGCCAAAAAGCCAAAAAGCCAACCCACTTCCCAAACGGAGGCTGATTAAGCTAAACCATTTTTGGTTTGAATGATTTGCTGGTTTAACAGTGTTTTAGCAGTGTTTATGTCACGATGATTCTTTTTTATTCATTAAGTTTCTAAAATTTATTTAATTATTTCCCTTTCAAAAACCAATATGACAAATTTTTAAAATTCATATATTTTTATTCTAAAATAGTGAAATATTAGAACTATGTCATTTTTTTAAACAGAGCATAATTTTAATTATTAATTGTCAATATAACAATTTTAGTTTATCTATACTATATGTTATAGTTAAAGAATATTTGAAATAAAACCCTTACTTAAACTTATATATAAAATTTTATTTAGGAGAGACAAAATATAAAAAAAATAAATATAATTATCGTATTTTTAATAAATAATATATTATTTTATTTCATATATAATAGGAGTGATATGCTAGTATATAATAGCTCCGTTTGGGAAGTGGGTTGACTTTTTAGTTTTTTTTAACTATTTTAGCTTGGGGCTAAAAAGCCTAATTTAGGAAGAATTTTTAGTTTTTTTGACTTTTTTATGAGAAAAATAATATAATTATTATGGATTGGATGTAATATTTTATCTTATTAAATTAAAAAAAATATTTTATTTTTTATGACTATTTTAACCAAATAAAGCTTCTAAACCAATTTGTCAAACGAAGCTAATATATGACAATAAAATTCTAGATGTGCAAAATAGAATTGTTCCCCTCTCATGATTAAGGGTGGATTAGTAAAAAGCTCTTTCAGTTAACCCACGTACATGCGAATTTTTTAATGGGCAAAATTCATTTTATCTTTGTGTGATATGACTGGTTAATACTTTACTATAGCTTTTAAAAATAGTCATATGTTTTTTATATAATTTTACACTAAAATGTAATCATTAATATTGTTAATTATAGATATGAAATAATTATAATATTTTTAAATTTTTTTTGTTTTTTGTTTTCCTCATCTCTCATACACATAATTTATAATGTCTAGTATTAATTCAATTAAATCATAATTAATTATAAATTCTTAATTATTTATTGTAATTCTTAAATTTTTATATTAATTCTAATTATAATTTAATTTTATTTAGATCACAATTAATCCTAAATATTTAACTATTTATTGTAATTACTAACTTTTTAATCTAATTTTAATTTAATTATATTTTAGATCACAATTAATCATAAATTCATGATTATTTATTATAATTTCTAACATGTTAATCTAATTTTAATTTAATTATATTTTAGATCAATTCTTAATTATTTTTATTTTATTAAATTATATTTTATATTTTAGCTCAATTCTTAATTATATTTTAATTTAATTTAATTAACATTTTAATCTAATTTTAGGTTTGTAAAAAATAAGGGTAAAATTGTCCTTTTGTTATATAAATTTTATTTTATTTTTTACAAAATAAAACTCACTCTAAAAAAATAGTGTGTGTAATATACTTTCTATTAATTTGGGTGAAAAAACTAACACTAATACTGATTCAAAATTACATGAGACTTTTTTTTGACTATGAAGATAAAGTATTTCAATGCTAAACCATAAAATGGTAAAATAAATGTAATCACTTCTAAATATATTTACTTAATTTTTCTCTACCTCCATTATACACTCTTAAAGAGAAAAAATAATAACTATATTTAGAAGCTCTCCGGAAGTTGTGTATATAAAGTAGATATGACTCCATTAACTCTATCTGTGTAGTCTTTCTCGAGGAAAGCACTAAAATAATTCTATCAAATTCTTAAAGTTCCTGTTATAATATCTTGAAAAATTACAAAATTATATAGACACCATTCGATTATTAATTTTTTTTAAAGAAGCTCCTAAATAAATTTTCAATACTTAGGCTAAGTTTGGGAAGATAAGAAAAAGTCAAAAAGTTATTTAAAAAATTAAAAAGTTAACACTATTCACCAAAAGTCAACAATTACGGCTGCACAACTCTCAATCCTAATTTTCCCTTACAAATTAATTTTTACAATTTTTTAATACATATTTTTTCATAAAAAGTCAAAAAGTTAATCCAATCATTCATATTTTTTTTCTCAATTTTTTAATCTAAAAAGATAAAAAATACACTTATTTAGAACACCTCAAACAACCTCTTACTCTTGCTAGTCTTTCTATTCAATAAACAACTAAATGAATATATATTTAAAAATATTCCTTTTATTTTGTCATCTACCATATTTGTTTACTAGGATCTAAAATATAAATATAATCTACATTTGTTAAATTTTTGTATATAATATTTGTCTGATTCCATCCCAAACAACACTTGAGTTTGAGTCTTATACAAATACAAGCTTCATTTCTTCTATTTCTTTCTAGCCAATTGTCTTAATTTTATTTATTTATTTATTTTTTTGGGCATAATCATACACTTTTTTAATAATCCCTACAGATAGGTTTTGACTAGAGTTTTTAACTTGTACAATGGTTACAGCACATAGGTTAATACATCCAAATATTAATTATATTTTATTATCATTGATTATCTCCCTGTCAATATAGGGTATCTATCAGTAATAGATCACTAATCCTTTCATTTCTTAACTATGCATTTGTTTGACAAAAGTTAAAATGTGATTTTTTTGATTAAAATAGTCATAAAAAAATAAAATAGACTTTTTAATTTAATAAAATAAAAAATCACATTTAAATCATAATCATTTCATTTTTTTCACATAAAATTTAAAAAAGTCAAAAAACCTATCTCAAAAGAGACTTTTTAACTATAAATTAACAACAATGCTAGAAACCTCTAAACAAGACACATGACTGACAGTGAGAGTGGGTGGAATCCACTGCCACATCACTAGTGATACCTCTAAATTAGAGGTCCAAACATTTTTCATAAATTAATAACTAAAAAAAAAACTAAAAAATCAACTCACATTTCAAAACAACCCTATATTTGTCGTATAATACACTAGTTTAAAACTATTTTATTTTGGTCCATCCTGCCTTATAGCAAATGAGGAAAGTGTACTATATGTGTATATATACAACATATATATCTACACTCATATGCATGGAACACCTCTCCACACATTTTTTCACCCTATAACCCCTGGACTCCACCGAGCGACGTCAGAATTAACCGAGAGTAAGGCTTTCTTCTCGAGAGAGCAGACGAACTACTTGGCGGGAGAAGGACCCGCGTCTAACTAACACTAAAGACGGATTCAAGATTCAAAATTTGAAGCGCAAAAGCACATGTAATTTCTTATCTCTTAAAATTATCTTACTAATTATTAATAGATATATATATATATATATATATAATTTTTATAAATTTTGAGAGTGCTCCAAAATCCATCCTTGCTAACGGAGTTCATGAGGAAATGAATTCATTTACTGAAGCCACGTCTCAAACATCAAATCATATCTTACTGAATAATTTGCCTGAACCAAGTCCAACATGGAGAGACATGCCGTCCAACCCATCAACTCGGTGACTCGTTTTGGTTTGACTCAGCTCCTCTACACCATCACCACCATCCTCTTCATTCTGTTCTCCACCGCCGCCGCCGCCACACAAGAGCTTCTCAGAGGCTTCACATCCACTCCAGACCCATCAGTCTCTTCTTTTCAAGCTCTGCTCAGCGATTCCACTGGCAACTACTCACTGGGTTTCATCCGAGTCAAACAGACTCAACTAGCTCTTTCAGTCATCCACGTTCCATCCTCCGAACAACTTTGGGTCGCCAACATGACCCGGTTGCCGAAATGGTCCGGCCCGACTCGGCTCTTCTTCAATGGCAGTCTTGTTATTTCTGATTCCCATTCGGGGGTGTTTTGGTCAACTCAAACCGATGGGGATCGGGTTTGGATATCAAATACCTCTAATCTCCAAATAGAAAAGCTCGATCAGTCTCATTCTATTCTCTGGCAAAGTTTCCAATTTCCCTCAGATACCCTTGTGGAGAATCAAAATTTCACAAGTGCCATGTCTTTAGTTTCTTCAAATGGGCTTTATTATATGATGTTAGGATCCGATTTTGTCGGGTTGTATGCCCGGTTCAACCCAGGATCCGACTCCAACCAGATTTATTTGAAGCACAAGGCATTAGAGGCCAAAGCAGACGTAATTGAAGGCCAAGGACCCATTTACATGGTGCTCAGTTCGGACGGGTTTCTGGGTATGTACCAAAACGGGTTGGTTCCCGTCGACGTGCAATCTTTCAGCACCTTTCAACAGAGAGGATCCGGAATCAGACGGGTCCGGATCGAACCGGACGGGAATCTAAAAGGGTATTTCTGGACCGGGTCAAGTTGGGTCTTGGACTACCAGGCAATATCCGACCCATGTGAGTTACCCAGTTCTTGCGGGTCGTATGGTCTCTGCCAACCGGGTAAGGGTTGTTCTTGCATAAATAACCGGACCGACCACAGCTCTGGCGGGTGTGACCCGCAGGAGAACAACTCCGGGGACTTTTGTGGCACAAATGGTGATGACAAGTATTGGGTTTTGAGAAGAAATGGTGTGGAATTACCATTTAAAGAGCTGATGGGATATGAGAAAATGGGTTCGGAGCTCCAATGTGAGAGGGCATGTGAAGTGAATTGCACATGTTGGGGTGTGGTGTACAGTAACTCATCTGGGTTCTGCTACATGATAGATTACCCCATACAGAGTTTGGTGGGTATTGGGGATGAGACCAAGGTGGGGTATTTTAAGGTGAGGGAAGGTGTAGGGAAGAAGGATAGGGTAGTGGGGTATGGGGTTGGGATTGGAGTGGATAGGGTAGTTGGGTATGGGGTTGGGATTGGAGTGTTGTGTGGGGCAGTTTTGGTATTTGGAATGGTGGTTGGGTTTGGGATTTTTAGGGTTTGGAAGAGGAAGAGAGGGGTTAAGGGGTACGTGGAGGAAGATGGTGAAGTGGGTGTGGGACCATACAAGAACCTGGGGTCTGCTAGTTTTCGGTCAATTGAGCTTTGTGAAAAGTGACGCAAGGGATGACATTTTTTGTGGGTTGAGGGCATTTTTGTCTTATCACTGATTCATAATCAACTTGCATGGTTCTTGCGGGGATTAAGGCCTTGTTTGGAGATGTTCTGTTTTTTTTCACTTGCCAAAATTTTTCCTTAAAGTTTCCTAAAGTGCTACAGTGTATGGTTGAGATTTACTGGCAAGTCACATTAATTTTTCTGATGTGACTTGCCAGTAAATCTCAACCACAAAATATAGCATTCTAGGAAACTTTAGAAAAATTTCACTCTAAAAGATCCTTGGTGCATGAAGACATGCAAACGTGGATGACGCAACATGCAGACTAGACTTTATTTTATTTTATTTTTTGGTGCAAATTTCAAATAGTAGATATATGGCTTTGATTTGGGGCAACTTATCGAGATTGTTTATAGCTTTTCTCCATTAAATTGAGGTAATGGTATTTTTTAATTTTTACTTTTTAATTATGAGTTTTTAGGGGTTGTTAGGAATGATCTAAATAAGTGTATTTTTTGACTTTTTATAAAATATGAGTTGGGTATGGTTTGAGTTTAAAGTGATGTGATAGAGAGGTGATGTAACTTAAATAGGATAGTGACTTTTTGACTTTTTAACTTTTTTAGATTATGACAAATAAGGTCTTAGGCCTTGTTTGGGAAGTAGCTGGTTTAGCTAAAAAGTCAAAAACTTACTAAAAAAGTCAAAAAGTCAACAATTCATATCAAAAAGTCAAAAATTTTCTTTTCTTTCTATTTTTTGCACATATTTTCATAAAAAGTTAAAAAGTTATTCAAACATATTAATTTTTTTTAATTCATATTTTAGTCAAATAATTAAAAAATTATTAAATTAACATGTTCCCAAACGAGGCCTTAACTTAAAATAAGTTGTACAAAACTTGCCTTATATTTGCTTCAGAGAGTATATGTTACTATAATTTTTTTTTGTCATTTTTAAGACAAATTACATCCATCTTGTAGTTTAGCTTTTATATTATGTTGACTTAATCTCCATAATTTAAATTGTATCAATTTTATTCTTGATTTTTTTTCTCTTTTTATTTTGTGTTAATTGAATCCAATTTTAATGTCAATTTAAAATTAAATTGAAATAAAATGCAAAAATAATTTATTACCCTTCTCAAAGTGACTGTAGGATTAGCATTCAATTAAAATGATTCAATTCCTTTTAAAAAATGAAACATTTTGCTTTTATTTTATCTAATTTTTTTAATGTATATTATTAATTTAACTAAATTGATACAATGTATAAAATTAGGTGGCTAAAATTAGGGCTGTGTAAAATACCGCCTAATCCGCTAAAACCGCACCGATCCGCATCAATCCGCACCGCTCTAATCGCTAACCGCGGTTTAAACTTTAAAATTTATAATCCGCCAACCGAACCGCTCCGCTTCGCTATAGTTAATACATATATATTTCTTAACCTCCAATAAAATATTAATGTAAAAATGAGTGTGCGAGATATTTAAGATATGAAGTTTATTACAAATTAATAGTTATATATATGAAGCATATTATGTAAAATTATTTTGTGTTATATATCTAAAAAATATTATACAAATTAATGTTTTATATTATGAAAATGTATGATAATTAGTTAAAATATTCTTCAATCCGCAAATCTGCCAAAAACCACCCAAACTGCATTTTGTCAATCTGCTAATCCGCTAACCTGCCATTCGATTTGTAATTTTATTCTCAAATCGCCCGAACCGCACTGCGCACACCCCTAACTAAAGTCATACAAATAAAATTATAAAATCAAATTGACATAAGAATTAAATTAAAAGAACCATTACCTTGAAGAGTTATATGTCAATGTGTAATGTGATAGTGGTTAATTTAACAATCTTGTCATGATATTTGGTATCATGAAATGTGTACAACTAATTAGAGTCTTTGACTTAGTGGTAGTGTGCCGAGACTCTTATGGTCAAGTGGCATGTAACCACGTCTTAGGATATAGTAAGTGAAAAGTCTGGAATCCAGGTTGATGGATCAGTGGCAATCCCTTTAAGTTGTAACATAACTTTACTAAAATACTAACTGAGAGAGAAATTTACGTCTAAATAAGGCCAAGCTAAGGCCATTTATTGAATGGACCGAGCTAGGTTCACTTTTGGTCATTGGGTCGCGCTGTAGGCGGAAATGAGAATGGATTAAGCTCGGTCGTGGACTGGACGGGTATTCGACCCAAGGCTTGAACCGAGGTGGCTATATCAAAGCAGGACCAGGGTACAATGGTGCGGGGTTCCGAAGTGGTTATCTCGGCTAAAGACTGCCCTGATCCTATCTGGCGTGGGGCAGGGCCTTCCTAGCTCGGTTGAGCTGCTACCGAGCTGAGGTAAGGAGGTTTGGGCCATCTCATTTGGGTTAATAGTAAGAAGGGTGTCATCAGGATAGGTATTATTTCTATGAGTATGATTCCTAGGAGGACTCTGCTGAGAAGAGTTTGAGTCCTATTAGGATTCTGCCAAGTGGAATCTATAAAAGCTCATGACAGGACGTATGTTCAGGTATCACAATTTTTACTCTAGAATATACAGAGCTTTTGTGTCTATTGTCTATTTACTGACTTAGGCATTTGAGAGGTTTCCGGCACACACCCATCAATTAGCTTACGTTTGTGTTTTCATGTAGCAAAGTGACGACGTTTGGAGGAGTGCAAGCTTGATCAATAGGATTATATAAGAAGATTATTTTCGTGCTCGTACAATTGGCGCCGTCTGTGGGAATTGCAATCATGAAGAGCAAACCTCTTGATTAAGTTTCCTTTCAACTGATTTCAATGACGTACAATGAAGACTTGCCACACTTTGTCATTGATGGGCAAACCCCGAGAGGGGCAGAAGGCGCGAAACTTACCTTTTATCTCGCCCATGGCAGAGTTAGATCCCCAGCGACGGAACCTGCGGAGGGATACCCATGAAAGACGGGCTCCAGTCCTCGTCGCTCCCAGAGCCCTGAAAGGTTGAGGTGAAGGTTGGATCCTCAGGTTCTAGAAGATCAGGTAAGGGAGCAGGACGAATTGATACGGAGGATGGCGGCAAACATGGAGATAATGAAGCGCTAGATAAAGGGCAAATGGATAGCAACGGAAGAGGGGCGCAAAGGTAACACACGCTCTTACCACTCAAAAAATCATGACAGACAGGTCACACCATCACAAGCTGAAAGTAGAAACCTCAGGACAGGCGATACATAATCAAGGACTTCTAGGACTCGTTACTCTAGGTTTGAGAGAACGAGGATTGAAAGGTCTTATATAGAAGGAAACAGTTATCGGCCTTCGCATACGCACTAAACGACATCCAGGCATACAGAGTTGCCTGGGTCAGCAGACCTGCGTACAGTGCTAGAGGAGAGGGCCTGATTTAATGAGGTCACCCAGGCTCGCGGCCCTCGTAGAGTTTCAGCTCTACAACGATTGGCTCCTAAGACACATGAAAGTGTCGAGGTAGGGATGCCAATATCACGCCTTACTTACGAACTAGTAGATAAAGTGTTAGCAAGGTTACAGAGCTCACCATTCGTTCTGGCAATTGAGAATGCATCGTTACTCTCAAGCTTCCACCAGTCCAAATTCACTACTTATGAGGGGAAGTTAGACCCTTATATGCACTTAAGCCACTTTTGCCAGGTTATGGCCACGTATCGATGAAACAAGGCCCTAATGTGTATTTTGTTTCCTTCCAGCCTTGGTGACCTGGGTCTAACATACAAAAAACAACACGGTAGAACAACCAAGCAAGAATGGGCGAGGCAGACGAGCCAAAAGAGAGGACCCCCAAGCAAGGAAGTTGAAAGTCCACACTGCCATTACCACGGTATTCAACAAAGCTATCTATCGGATTTTTATGCAATGAACCCTTCGTTCAGTACCTAGCCAAGTTGGGAGAAGCACAAAGGGGCTACGATGATAGGTACCGTTGCACCTTCCATGATAAAAAGGGGCACCGAACTAAAAATTGTACATCGTTGAGGCAACATCTGGAGGAGTTAGTGGCCGCTAGTCACTTGGACTAGTATATAGAGGGGGGAACACAGCGGACTCCCTAGGATCGCAACAAGCCAAATAGGATGCCAGTCGACGGTCCACCCCAAGGCATAATTAACGTGATACATGAGATCGTCGAACCTGAGCGGGTATGTGAGCTCAGAGGGATGATCAAAAAGCTGAGCACTTGAGAGAGGTACTAAGTGCACAATCTAACGTCAAAAGGGGAAAAACGGAGGCAACAAACGTCATCTCCTTTTTTGACAAAGACTTGGCAAGGTTACAATGCCCTCACAACGACGCACTGGTGGTCACTTTGCGCGTCAAGAACTTCGACATCAAGCGAATCCTAATTGACCAAGGGAGCTCTTGCGAGATAATATACTACGAGACCTTCAAATAACTGAAATTGGAGGACAGAGACTTGGCACCCGTAATATCTCCTTTAGTCGGCTTCAACTCAATGCCTGAATGGCCGGTGGGCAAAATAATTTTGGGTGTCATCAGGATAGGTATTATCCCGATGAGTAGTGCAATTTTGGGTATTAAAAATCTCTTCCACTTACAACATAATCTTGCGAAGAGCATGGTTGCACACCATGCGATCAGTAGCATCAACCTACCATCAAATGTTACGGTTCCCTAACGAAATCAGAGTGATTAAAGAAGTCTTAGGGGACTAAATCATGTCAAAACAGTGCTTTGTCATAGTAAATGGCAGCCGGGCTGCAAAAGGATTTGTACAGATGGTAGAAGAGCCAGAAATCAACGAATTGTTTACAGACGTCGGCAAAACAGCCGAACAGAAGACAGTGGAAGACTTAATGGTGGTAAGAATAGATGAAAAGAACCCAGAAAAATTATTTTTGCTCAGCTCGTCTCTGTCGAGCACCGAGAGAATAGAGGTTATGGAATTTTTGACCTCTAACATCGAAGTGTTCGCCTGGACGCCGTATGACATGCCTGGCATTGACCCTAATTTCATCTGCCATCAACTTAATGTCCATCTAACTACTAGACCAATTATACAACGAACTCGCCGATCGGCACTCCACCATGCAGAGATAGTGGCAGAGGAAG